AGCTGCCTGTCAGGTGTAGGAGAGGAGATGGGATGCTTACAGCCACCAGGAAGGTTTGCTCAGCAGGATTGCCTTAGCCCTGCTGCTGGCCCAGTCTCCCTGATGCCTTTAAACATCAGGACCAGGGTACTTTAATCCATCAGGGACGCCACCCCAGCAGGATCACCTTAGCAATGATGCTGGCCCAGCCTCCCTGATGGCTTCCAACACACTCCCCCCACCTCCTACACCTAACAGGCAGTTGTCTGTCAGGTGCAGCAGCGGTTGCAGGGTGCTTAAAGACATGAGGGAGCCAACCCCAGCAGTCTACAGAGAGGTCCTTCAGTAGAGAGAAAAAGTACATATGCCTCACTTCATATTTTACACTACAATCTTCTCTATTAGAATTCCTACAACAAATGTTACACTTCAAACTTTATATCATCAGTATTATAACTGGATTTACGGATGTTAAATACCGTAGCGAAGAGTCTGCAGCTAAGAGTCTGCTGCAAGAATTGTGTCTCAGAGTCTAATAGTGCCATCCTAAGCAGAACTACACCCTTCTAACTACTTTGGTTTTAATGGACTTAAAGTCTGAAACTCTGCTTAGGGTGGCATTGTAAATGTAGATTCCCTGTGGTTCAGAGAGGTTGATTTTTTTTTTTTACAGTGTAGCTAGATGGAATTTTGTGTTCTAAAAGGGTAGCTTCTTGTGTTCAAATCAGGCTCTCCCCCCCCTTTCCCTTTTTTGCCTGTATGGTTTGGTCCACCTAGGAAAGGGAATCATACAGCTATTTTTAGCAGCATGCCTTTGCCTTTGCCTAATGTCAAACTGATTTTCTGTTTGCTTCCGTAGCTAGGAAACATACAGAACTGCTGCAGTAGAATTTTTTGTATTTAAAAAGTGCCTCTTGGTGGAAAAATATTATTATTTGCCAGTGCACGAACTGGCTGGCTCTCTGTACCCAGAAGATCAACACATGGGGTTTGAGGGCAGGTGCCAGCCCACTTCACCATCCACGCATTAACTAGTTTGAAAAATGCTTTTGCTTCTCGTTCAATGTTTGATTTGGCAGCAAATAGTGATACATTCCTTCTTTGTGTGGTCCACTTTGATCTATCTCAGCTTTCCTCTAGTGCTACTACACTGGGCTTGAGAATAGTTTAAAACTGGCCAAAATGTTATATGAGTTTGAAAAACGTATGGAAGATCTAGATGACAGGTATATTTAGATAGGGGCTCGAGACACTTGTTCGTATATTTAAGAGGTAGTTGTATACTAAGCTTGCTTAAGCTGAAAATTGAGGCGGAGCTGGATCGCCTCGTGGCCCAGGGGGTGCTGGAACCCGTCATCCATGCTAGGTGGGAGACGCCTATAGTCACCCCGGTGAGGCCAAGCAGGGAGCTAAGAATCTATGCAGACTATAAGTGTACCCTCAACAAGGCGCTTCAGGCCCACACTTACCCGGTGCCGGTGGTCAGCCAGGTCCTAGCCTCACTGGCGGGGGCGCGAGTTTTTGGTAAATTGGACTTGGCCCAGGCATACCAGCAGCTGCCGGTGGACACCGCCACTGCCAAGCCACAAACGATTGTCACCCACAAGGGGGCGTTCAGGGTAAAGAGGCTCCAGTTTGGGGTGAGTGTGGCGCCGTGGATTTTTCAAAGTTTTATGGATTGTCTCCTTAAAGGAATCGCAGGAGTTCAGCCGTTTCTAGACAACGTGCTGATCGCGGCACCGGACTCTGAGACGTTTGCTGACCGGCTCTGAACGGTGCTTCAGCGCTTTGACTTTGCGGGACTCAAAGTCAAGCAGGAAAAGTGCCTCCTGGGGGTGCCGCGGGTGGAATTTTTGGGGTTTGCAGTGGGCACCCAGGGAATTTACCCCACAGACAACAAAATTCGGGCCATCGTACAGGCGCCCCCCCTCGTCCAAAATGGAGCTCCAAGCCTTCCTGGGGCTTTTAAATTTCTACCATTCCTTTCTGCCCCACAAGGCTGCCGTAGCGGAGCCGCTTCACCGCCTGCTGGACAAGCACGCCCCCTGGGACTGGGGTGACACGCACAACGACGCTTTCCAGGCGGTTAAAGAACTGTTAACGTCTAATGCAGTCCTTGCCCATTTTGAGGAGACCTTGCAGGTAGTGCTGACGTGTGATGCTTCTCCCTATGGGGTAGGGGTGGTCCTAGGGCATGGGCTGGTGGATGGCTGCGAGGTCCCGGTAGCATACTACTCCCAGACCTTGTCAGCAACAGAGCGAAATTACGCTCAGATCAATAAGGAGGCGCTAGCGATTGTGGCAGGGGTTAAGAAATTCCACTTGTATGGTAGGCCCTTCACTATAGTTAAGAACCATTTCACCCGGCAACAAACGGTCAGGCCGAACGTATGGTGAGGACCACCAAAGAGGCGCTCCGCCGGATGGACACGGGATGGACTACAAACGGGCCGCTTTTCTGTTCGGTCAGCGCACAACTCCCCACACCACTACCGGATGCAGTCCGGCCAAACTCCTCCTAGGTAGGCGCCTGACAACAAGGTTCGATCGTCTCCACCCCAACCGAGCCCCCAAACACGATCCAAGCCCCACGGAGCAGGAGGCTTCACGGGGGTTTTTCCCAGAAGATCCGGTGTACGCCCAGAACTATGCTTGGGGCCCCACCTGGATGCCAGCAAGGGTCATTAGGGTAACAGGCCCCCTGTCTTATGAAGTCCTGAGCGAATACGGACAGATCTTGAAGCGGCATATCGACCAGCTGCGCCGCAGGGTCCTTCCGGCAGATCCTGATGACGGCGATTTTGAGGACCCTGTAAACCCAGAAGCCGAGGTGCCCTGCCAGACAAGGGCCTCACAGGGTCCGGCTGGAGATGCCTCACGGGCACTTCACTCTAAGGAACAATAGACCAAACAGATCCTAGCCCGCACCTATCAGAGGGCTAGGATCCAAGGTAGGACCTATGAAACTCTTGGCCACTGTAAATATCCTCTCACTGGTGAAGGGTGTGTGCTTGGGTGTGGTTTGACTCCTAAATATAAGCCAGCCTGCGAGCTGGCATTCTCTCTCTTGTTCTACATCTCTAAATAAAGTATGAGCTGAAATCACTTCGCTATGCATCAGGCTCAGTACTTTTCAGTAGTGATTTCCAAATCATGTGTTAATCAGTTACAAGTAATACAGTAGTTTTATGTAACCCTGTGCTTCCTGTTTCGTATTTCATTTCTGTTATACATTGCATCCTGAGTTGGCCATTGTCCAGCAGAGGAGACTGGGCTAAACATGTTCTGACTTTGCTGTGTTTAAAAAATTTTAAACCTTTTTTGGGGGGAAGGTTAAGCCCCCTCTTAATTTGTCTTTTTTTTGCAAAGGGGGGCGGCTTGCAGAAGCATCTGTGTGGCTCCATTTGGCAGATTTTTTTTTAAAATCCACACAGTGGGACCAAGCTGATAATTAGATATAAGGGGAACCTGTGAGGACTTTGGAGGGAGGGGAGATCCTGTTCCCAGCTGGCATCTGCTTCCTCCCCTCTTGCTCTTCCTAATCACTTGGATTTCCCCTTTTCAGCCTTCCCACTCACCTGGTTTCTTTCTCCCTTCAGAACACTCCAGAACACTCCCCCCCCACACACACACACTGCCCTTTTCAGCTTGCTTGATCACTATTTCCTCTGCTCCAGGGGTCGTTTCGTAGAAAAAGAGCTAGGGGAACTCATTAGCATAACTCATTAGCATATGCCACACACCCTGACATCACCGGAAGTGTGTCATAAGGCCACACCCCCTGACATCACCGGAAGTGTGTCATAAGGCCACACCCCCTGACATCACCGGAAGTGTGTCATAAGGCCACACCCCCATGAGTCCACGCGCCCCGCCCCCAATGGTCCCGGCCGCACACCCCATGAGGGGCCCGGCAATAGACCTGCAAGGCCGGTGGGAGTGCAAGGAAGCCCTGCGAAGGCCCTCCCTGGCCCCAGGCAGGCCGGGGTGGGGAGAGGCAGGGAGGAAGCAACTTACCCTCCCTCTTCTCCTGCCTCCTCCTGGCTGAACGAGGGCCAGAAGCGGGGGGCGGGGCTTCGTCATGTGCCCCGCCCCCGTACCTCACCCGGGGGAACTGTGATCCCCCGCGATCCCCCCCGAAATGACCTCTGCCCTGCTCTCTCCATTGCTTAGTTTCTTCCCAACCTGTCCAATCAGCAAGTTTGTCCCCCCCACCTTTCAGACAACTCTCCCCCCCTCACAGGTTTCCAGCTCCAGGGTGAGATATAATTGGAGATTTTGGGAGTGGAGTCTGGGGAGGAGAAGGACTTCAGTGGGGTATAGTGCCATGGAGTCCACCTCCTGTAGCAGCCCTTTTCTCCAGGTGAATTGATTTCTGTTGCCTGGAGATCATTTGTAATAGCGGGAGATCTTCAGGACCCGCATGGAGGCTGGCAACCCTACCCCCACTTTTGTGCACTTTTTAGACTTTTCTGCAGACTTGGGGTTATCCAAGCAGCTACATACAGTAGCACTGGGTGTCCCTCCCTTTCCATATTTTTTGATCTTCATGGGAAGGCCATCCATTATTTTTAGAAATATAGCGGATAATGTAAATCTAATGACTAACGATGTAGGAGAAATTAATGCTGCAGCTTATATGTCGAATTGAAACCATGCAGCCCAAATTACAAAATGCTGATCAGCACTACATTGTATACTGTTAATGAAGATTCAAAATACATTGGTGGTGGAAAGTACTCTCAAGTCTCAGATGACTTATGGTGACCCTGGAGGATTTTCAAGGCAAGAGAGTTTAGAGGTAGTTTGCCGTTGTCTGTCTGTTGGTTGTTCTCCATTATGTAATGGATTTGCAGTGAACCTTCATTAATGTATACAGTGTAGTGCTCATTAGCATTTTGTGATTTGTGCTATCAAACACTGTGTTCGTCTTGTTGTTTGAATTAAAACCATGTACAAGCTTGGCCAGGCTACACAGGCAAACAAGGTCAATATATGGCATTTCATGCTTCTTTTCAAAGGTCTGTGGGGTACAAGACTAACGGAAGAAAACACAAGCAGAGAGAAATACCTGAAAAGTGTTTTACGAGAATTAATCACTTATTTGATTTTTCTTCTGGTCCTCTGCATCTGTAAGTACTCTTTTTGCTAATATTTCAGTCTGCCAATTAGTAGCTGTGATATGGTTCTGGAGTGGGGTTTAAAGAATTCTTCCCTTTTCATGGCTGCTGTTGTAGTTTCTAAGTCTGTGATGCCATTATTCATTTTAAAAAGTTAATCAAATGTAATGGTCACATAGCTCCTCTGATGGAGAGGGGATATTGTTCAGTGGAAGAGCATCTGCTTAGCATGCCTAACGTTCCGGATTCAAGCCCTGGCCTCTCCAGTTGAAGTTTCTTAGGTAGCAGATGCTGGGAACAAGTTTCCTCTGTCTGAGATCCTGAAAAGCAGCTGCCTGACAGTGTAGGAAGTGAAGAGCTATGTAATCCGATTCATATGTTCACTGTGTTCTATGTTCATATGTCAATTTTTGATAGTGCTGAAAGGCAATGGCACCCTTGCAAACCTACGTTGATACTCTATGGCCCCGGTCACACCAAGGGGGAAAGGCGCGGCTGAAGTGCGGCTTTTTAGAGCAGCAACAAAAGAGAAGCGCAGCTGCGGGATCACACAGATCCCCCGAGCCATCACGCAGTTACTCCCCGGCATGATCAGATGGGGGGGGAAGCCACGGACAGGAGAGGAGGTGAGCCCGTTGCACATGCGCAGTTCGACAGGACCTCGGATGCCATGGGGAGACGGGCGCATCGGCAGTCAGACGCCCGCCTGTGCTGCGCGTCAGCCAGTAGGTAGTGCTGTTTTGGTGCTACCTTTTTGATGCGCGGTTTCGCCCAGAAGGGACGGATCGGGGACAGGTGTGCTCCACTTCCCAAATGCTGCGGTATGATCGCGCCCGCTTGATGCGCCCCCGACCCGTCCCTCTCGCGTGGCAAATCCTCCCGGGGCCTATGAGTCTCTTTTATGGTTTAATTCAAGGAGAGCCTTAAAGTCTGATTAAAGAATCAATTGCAGGTGGTAATGCAGGTTTGCAAAACTAATTCTAGTGCAAGGAAAGGTTTCCGTTAGATGAGATGGAGAGAGGTCGATGATCAGATCTCTCTTGTTTTTTTTAAAAAAAGCAAATATTTATTTACAAAATGTATATCCCAACTTTCTGCCCAATCAGGGCCACCAAGGTAGTGAATAATTAAAACAAAGCATTATAGACATATGTGATACAACCAAAACTAAAATATTTGGTTTATATACATACGGTATACCTTAACTAGTGATGGGGTAGGTTGTGAAACATGGGAGGTCTGAAATAGGGTTGCTTTGGACCACCCACCCTTCCGTCTCAAATGAAATTCTTCCTTTGGAGTCCTGACTGATCCAAGGAACATTTAATTCCCATGATTGTTTTCAGTGTCTGACATGAGCTCTTGGCTTCTGTGTTGTGCTACTGGTGACATGTTTTTCATAATGGCTGCATATCTATGAGTTAGTGGCATTTTTGTTTTAAACAAGCTAAATGTCTTCCAAAATAATTCTTGCAGTGTCCTATGGAATGGTGAGTTCTAATTCGTACTACTACACAAGGGTGATGTCGCAGCTCTTTCTAGAAACACCAGTATCAAAAATGGAGAAGACAGACTTCAAAACTTTGTCCACAGTGGAAGACTTCTGGAAGGTATAAATCAGAATTGGATCCTTGGACAGTAGTATTCTCTGTCAATATATTCCCCGTCAATATATTCAGTGTGTGGGTATAAATTATTTTAAGGCTATAACCCTGAAAAGATTTGTGCACAAGTTGGCATGGCTTTCTGTAGGCCTTAATTCTGCCTTCCAATACTAGCCCATTTGCCTAAATGTACTTACTCTTTTGTGGCATGTTAATGACCTAGTGAGAAAAATACCTGGAAACAGTTCTTTGGGTGAGCAATTTTCCCGGGGTAGGGTTGCCAAATTTAGATCGTCCGGGAGCGGGGGGCTCCCGGACGATCCCGGGCACGTGCGCGTGCACGTCACCCAGAAGTGACGTCGTACGCTGGGGGCGGGGCCACGCGATTTGAGGGGAAAACAAAGAGTTTTCCCCTCAAATGGCTGCCATTTGAGGGGAAAACTCTTTGTTTTCCCCTCAAATCGCGTGGCCCCGCCCCCAGCGTACGACGTCACTTCTGGGTGACGTGCACGCGCACGTGCCCGGGATCGTCCGGGAGCCCCCCGCTCCCGGACGATCTAAATTTGGCAACCCTACCCCGGGAAAATTGCTCACCCAAAGAACTGTTTCCAGGTATTTTTCTCACTAGGTCATTAACATGCCACAAAAGAGTAAGTACATTTAGGCAAATGGGCTAGTATTGGAAGGCAGAATTAAGGCCTACAGAATGTAGGCCTTAATTCTGCCTTCCAGTACTAGCCCATTTGCCTAAACGTACTTTTTTGTGGCATATTAATGACCTAGTGAGAAAAATAACTGTCTCTCTCCTGGTCACCTGGAAACAATTCTTTGGGTGAGCAATTTTCCCAGGGTACGGATAGCTGCGTACAGATTTTTCTTCATCCTAGATGGCTGCTTCGCGGCATTATCCTTCCTTTTGTATGTTCTGTTTGGTCCTGCCTTTGCCCCTGGGTTTTGTTTGTTTTGCCTATTGGTCCATTCAGGTCAGCATTGGCAATAGCTCTCTAAGGTTTTAGGCTCAGGAAAGGTTTTTCCAGTACTAATGTTCTTTAACTGGAGTTTCCCAGGCCTGAACCCCAGCCTTTCTGCTTGCCAAGCGTGTGCTCCATCAATGAGACACAGACCTTCCCCAGACAAGATACATGACCCTCTGAAGACCCAGGCAGCTCATTTGAAAGTCCTGCTAATCACTTGCCTCCCCCAGCACAGCAAGAGCAAACATCCTTCTGTTCCATAAGTAAGGGCTCAAGTCGGGCCCCCAAGCCAGTGAATGACAACACAAAGACAGCATAAACAGTTAGATATGTTTTGTTGTCTAAGGTAGTGTAATGTTATTGAATTCTGTGCCCTGCCCTGGATGGCCCAGGCTAGCCCGATCTCATAAGATCTCGGAAGCTAAGCAGGTTTGTCCCTGATGAATACTTGCATGGAGACCACCAAGAAAGTCCAGGGTCTTGATTCAGAGGCAGGCAATGGCAAACCACCTCTGAATGTCTCTTGCCTTGAAAACCCTACAGCAGGGGTGGCCAGACTTGCTTAACATAAGAGCCACATAGAATAAACATCAGATGTTTGAGAGCCACAAGACATGAGCAAATGTTACACGTTTTTACTGGGAAATATGCAGTTTTGCTTTTTATTAACATTAAATGAGACTGCCAAAAATAATAACAAAAGGGGTAAAAGCAGATATAGATAATGATATTTATTTGTCCAATGATATTTGTTTGCTAATGATATTTAGCTTCCCCGGCTGCCCTGCTGGGAGCCGCGCAATGTGTGTGAAAGAGCCGCATGCGGCTCCCGAGCCACAGTTTAGCCACCCCTGCCCTACAGGGTCGCCATAAGTCATCTGCAGTTTGACCACACTTTCTACCACCTCATTGAATCTTGTGTTGTAAACATACCATGAGAAAGATTCAGATGGGTAACTTTGCTGGTCTTAAAGTAGCCACTGGACTCAAACTTCGTTATACCATCAGGAAGGCAACCCTGAATGACCCTTCCAAAAATGTTATGTACAAAAAAAAGTTTTTATTTGATATAATTGTAACATATGTGAATGTAACATGATCCCTTCTTCCTTATGGCACCCCTGGAAAAAAATCTAGTCTTGCATTGGAGTAAATAATCATATAATTCCTACATGATTTGCATGTAGGAAGTTTCGACATCAGTTGTATGTAGAGTGTAATAAAATTCTGGTTTTGTTTGTTTTTAAATTAACATCAGATTACTTTAAAACTGTTTTCTGTCTTAGTTCACTGAGGGCCCTTTGCTAGATGGTCTTTACTGGGAGATGTGGTACAACAATAAGACAGTGGCAGAGAATAGGAGTTTCATCTACTACGAGAACCTGCTTCTGGGAGTGCCTCGCATCAGACAGCTGAAAGTGAGGAATGGCTCATGTTCAATACCTGAAGATTTAAAGGATGAAATTAAAGAGTGCTACAGTTTGTACTCTGTGGGTAATGAGGACACTGCTTCATTTGGCCTCCGAAATGGAACTGCGTAGGTATCTCTCCAGCATACGCGTAGCCAGTAGCAACTTCCCATTGTTCTGAAGATTATTTACTCTTCTTCCCAATGATTTCTAGCATGAAAATTACAGTCCGTGCGCTAGTCTCCACATAAAAGCATTCCGTTTCATTTAACATACTAACCCACTTCTTTAAAAATTCTGCACACATATAAACAGCCTGTATGACCCTGAAGATAATCTTGCTCGAGTTACGCAGATGTGTGCATGTTTCTTCCTAACGGCTTTTCAGAACTGTTTACTTAAAGAGTTACCAAGCTTTCCTACATATATATAGCAGCTGGATTCACAAGTGGTGGCGCTGATGTGCTTCTTTGTATTTTCAGCTGGACTTACACCAGTGAAAAAAATATGAATGGGAGCAGCCACTGGGGACTGATTGCAATGTATAGTGGAGGTGGATATTACCAGGATCTGTCCAGAAGCAGAGAGGAGACGTCTGCATTGCTTGGTGTCCTTAAAAACAACATGTGGCTCGATAGGGGAACAAGAGCAACATTTATCGATTTTTCAGTGTACAATGCAAATATCAATCTCTTCTGTATTGTAAGGTAGGTTCCAGATTTCTTCACTCTGAATACTGTGTTGATGTACCTCTGTGTTAATGTAAAAGTATTACAGCTTAATCCTGTGAAGACTGAGTTGGCAATGAGTCTCACTGAACTCAGTGGGTCTTACGCTCAAAAGAAGTGCAGAGACATGGACCGATTCCCCACAAGCAGCTGTGTCGCCCTCGCTCTTCTGTTTCCCCCACTTGCATTGGTCAATTTCACACTATTTGCTGCGTGGCCGCATTCTGACCCACAGCTCCCTCCGATTTCCCCTGCATTTTCTTGATCCTTGTTTTTTGAGATCGAGAAGACACGGGGGAAATGGGGGGGAGCTGTGGGTCAAAATGCAGCCACACAGCAAATAGTGTGAAATTGACCAATGCAAGTGGGGGAAACAGAAGAGCGAGGGCGGCACAGCTGCTTGTGGGGAATCCGTCAGGTAATCTTATGGTGCAGTCCTAAGACAAGTTACACTGTCCTAAATTCACCAGAGTCAATGGGCTTAGAAGGGTGTAACTCTGTACAGGATTGTGCTGTTAATGTTGCAAAGGCAGCATGTTGTTGCAGCTAGTGTGTTGGAATAGGAATGGGGAGACTTGGCTAAAGATGTAACATTTCAAGAAATTTTGATGGCAGAGAGAAAAACAGGGTTTTTTGTTTGTTTGTTTCCATCTTGTTGTTTGGGGGGAGTGGAAATTTGGGAAAAAATTGAAATATATGCAATACTTACTTTCCTATCAAACCTAAGCCTATTTTATTGATTTAACAACATAAAATGCATCATTTATAATTCAGTTAATATATAAATTTTACTGTTTGGCATACTTATGGAATGCCTTCATTTTCTAAAAGAAAAACTGCAAATATACCAAACACTTGAGAAAGAGATTCAAAGTGCTGCATTCTGTGCTACCATAGCACATTGGTCTTGTTCTTTTACCATCTGAGAGGGAGGGAAAGATAAAAGCAGAAGGTATAAAGCAAATTCTGTAGTAAACAAAGGAAAGTGTTGTCTGGGCAGAAACTTTTCATACCATCCCAGTAAGGTAGGTCTGCCAGGCTATTTGTATATTAAATTAAACTTTATAACTTTTTTTATATATATACAATATATTTTATTGGATATATCAATAAATGAACAGTTGGTGGAAATTTGAACAAAACGTGTAGCTGTCATGAACAGGTGTACAAACATAATTTGAACATTAGACAAGTATTGTTTAGAGAATAACTCCTTGTGCTAAGCAAGTTGTTCTGGAGGCACTTGCTTTGGAGGGAGGGTACTACTCAGTCCCCCAAAGCCAATCTGCTCACAACTTGGAGGACAAGTAGAGGGGCATCCTGGGGAGGTCCGCTGCAAGATGCTCTGTCACTTTCGGGGGGATTTAAACATCCCCCCGAATTTTTTTTCAACTTTTTTTATTTTTGTGCACACGTGGGGACTGGCCCATGTGTGCACAAACCTTCCCCGGCCCCCCAGCTGCCCCCGGAGCGCTGATTTAGCGATCCGCACTGCGGGGGCAACTTTGCTATTAGATATATAGATTGTTTAGAGAATAACTCGTTGTGCTAAGCAAGTTGTTTGTCACATATAAAGGAGATACATAGTTTAGAATTCCAAGTAAAACATATATCCTTACGTTGTTATGGAGATATTTGAGCAATAACTTTAACTGAGTGTCTATACTTAGGATAATAAGATACTTTTTACCACAATTGTAAAGCGTCAATTTCTTTGGGAGTGTCTTCAACTTGATTTAGATATTCTAAGAGAGGGAACCAGACTGCTATAAATAAGGAAGGAGCAGGGATCTTATAAACTTTATAACTTTGAGAGCACAACTCTTCAGGACGTTCTTAGAGTTTTTCATGCTGTACATTTTGAATGAGTGAAATGCTTCTTAAGATAAGGTTTTCTTCCTTTATAAGAGAAAATATTTCATAGGATATTTTTTTCAGTACACCCTAAAATTTCCAAACTTCCATTGGAAAAGTCGAAAAAGTCTTCAGGCTTATACACTGGAGTATGAGAAACCTTGCCTCAAGAAGCATTTCTCTCATTCTAAAAGAGAAAATATTTCATAATTTTTTTCATTGCTCCCCCAAATTTCTCAATGTTTTCATCAACAATTGGAAAAAAGTCCTGGGGGGGGGATGGGGGAACCCTTTGTTTTTTCTGATTTTTTCCCCAGTTTTGTTTCAGGCCTTCACAAGTCTAGACTTGAATTCAAATCCCCACTCACTCAAAAAACTTAACTGGGTGACAGCTGCTCTCTTTCAAGATACTCAGTGAGGGGTACTAACTTGAACTCTTGGAAAGAAGGGCGGGTTAAAACCATAACAGATGTTGTTGACTTATTATCTGTAGCACAAATGATCATTGTGAGCACTGAATGTTAATAAGGTGTGATGAAATGAAATCACATGTTTAAAGAAAACAAAAAATTATTTGATTCTGAAATGTGAGGACTGTTGATACCATGTGGGGGATGGGCCTTAGTACTTGCAGCTTTGTTTACTGTCAAGTTGAGGAACACTTTCTTAATGATGAGGGCTGGAAAGACATGGATCCAACTTCCTACCCTGGTATGAAGCTAACTGAATGACCTTAGGCAAGTTGCTAACCTACCTCACAGGGTTATTATGAGGATAAAAGCTCTGCATATATAACATGAATTCCAAAAAAGTCCATTGGACAGTCATATAAAACCTAAGAGTCTAGGACATGCTTGCTTTCCTAAAACAGGCCTTTGGGAGTTTTAAAGTAATTACTACCATAGGAAATGTCATGACTTCTGTAGCTGTTCCAACTGATAACATTTGAATGGTCTTACAGCACATTTTCAAATCCTGCCGTTTAACATTATGCATTCATTTATTTTTGAAATGCAGGTTATTGGTAGAGTTCCCACCAACAGGAGGCCTGCTTACCTCTTGGCAATTCCAGCCAGTGAAGTTAATTCATTATATTTCCACTTTTGATTTCTTCCTGGCTGCCTGCGAAATTGTATTTTGTCTCTTTATCCTTTATTACGTGGTGGAAGAAATCCTGGAAATTCACATTCACAGACTGTATTATTTTAGGAGTCTCTGGAACTGTCTTGATGTTCTCATCATTGTGGTGAGTGAAATATAATGGCTATTAGCTCTTCATGGCTGCCTTTTGAGGAATTTCTTTGAACTTAGAGCTTTGCAAAGACAGACATGTCAGTTCCATAATAATAGTTCTAATAAGCACATTGGGGTTGCCAGCCCCCTGGTGGAAGCAGGGAAACCCCTGCTTTGGCAGGCTCTTGCCCGCAGCTGGCCAGCTGGCTGGTGGGGGGAAATCCTGCCCCCAGCCGACCTTTTGGGACCTACTTCCAGTTTTGGGCCTACTTCCAGTTGGGGGTGATGTTCTGGTTTTTGGGCAAAACTGTATGGTTTGAAGCCGAATTTCTCATAGAGTTTTGCCCCAAAACCAGAGTGTCACCCCTGAACAGAAGTACACTCGCAACCAGAAGTAGGCCCGAAAATGCTGGAAGAATGTTGGGATACCCCCGCTGGCCAGGTAGGTCGACCTGGCAACCCTAGGGCACGTCCATGAGGTTCATTTGTGCTGGCTGAATGGCTCAGTGGGCACCATTTTCCCCCCTGTTAGATGAGTACAAAATGTTCTCTGCAATGGAATAATATTTAAGATTACATAATGTAAGGAATTGAGTTTAAATCATCTCTTTAAAGCAGGGATCCCCAATGTGGTACCTGTGGGCACCATGGTGCCCACAGACACATTCTCTGCCATTCGCCAAGTATTTTTAGAAAGCGGGAGGAATCGTGGGGCTTTTGCCCAGCAAGGCTTCTGATTGGTCTTTGTAGATTTGATTGGCAGTGTAGACTTTTAAAAATGTTGTTTTGAGAGTAGCTGCCACCTCAGCACTGCATGACTGAAGGTAAACTGCAGCAGCCATTTTGTTCCTGGCTCCACATCCTGTAGCAGCCATTTTGTGGTGTACATTTTATGGCTGCACCACCACTCTGCACTAGAATTTCAAAGATGCCCTCAGGCTCAAAAGACAGAAGAAGTAATTGCATATGGTTTATGGAGAAGGGGCAAGAATTCCTGCATGAGATAAAAAGTTCTTAAGATACTTTTAAGAATTCTGTCCTATGCATATGCTGTCTTGATACAAAATTAAGGCCCCGGTCACACGAGAGGCTTTGATCCGCAAGAGGGATGGATCGGGGACGCATCAAGCGGATCACACCGCAACATCTGGGAAGCGGCGTGCATCCGTCCCCAATCCGTCTCTTCCGGCCGAAAATGCAGATCAGAAAAAACCCTACGAAACACTAGTACTTACCGAAAAATCCGCTGCAGGGGCGGACGTGTGATCGCCGGTGCACCCGTCTCTCCCGCAGCACGTGAGGTCCTGCCGAACTGCGCATGCATACGCATGCGCAGCGGGCTCGCCTCGCTCTGTGGTCCGTGGCTCCCCCCCCGGCGGGGGATCGTAGGTCTCCACAGAATCCTTGCCGCGGGGACAGCAAGACGCGTTGCACCCGCCATCACCAGGAGCTAACGCTACGCGTCGCTCTGGCAACGGGGCTCCAAACAGCCCCATTGCCAGACCAACGCATAGTGTCATGTCCTGGCGACGGTGGTGCAACGAGTCTCGCCGTCCCTGCAGCAAGGATTCTGCAAAGACATGCGGATCCCCCGCCGCGATTTGGCAAGATTTGGCAGGCCTAGTTTTTAGAAGTACAACATCCTTGTATAGGAAAGTAGAAAATTGATTAAGATGTAGGTTCCATAATATTTGTTTATCAGTCTTGGCTCATCTGTGACTGTAACAAATAGACTGAGATTGATTTATCTTTTTTTTTTTGGGGGGGGTGGTCCTTTCAGCTTTCAGTGGCCTCAATAGGAGTTAACATTTATCGAACATCCACTGTGGACAAGTCACTGAAGACACTGCTGGAGAATCAGAATCACTTCCCAAACTTTGAGCCCTTAGTGTACTGGCAAACACAGTCCGGCAATATTGCAGCTGTCACCATGTTTTTCGTCTGGATTAAGGTAATTTGAAAATAATTGTGATATAGCTACTGAGGGCACTTAAGAGTCTATTTTCAGTTTTTAGTTACCTTTTTAAAAGTTCATATCAGTGACATTGACAAAGCAGCTTAGGTTGGATGTTCCTTGTAGTATGTTCCTTGTAGTCCCTTTTTGCCTGTCTGATCACCAACTTGCATTTTATTAATCTTTCTTACCTTTTACTGCTTCCATTACTTTGTTCATTAACTATGCAGGCTTTTTTTTATACCTGTTTGTACCTTTCCTAACCTGTAGTATACATTTTATCTGAGCTAGGAGAGCAGTTTTAAATAGACTCAAAGCTTCCTGAAGGGATTTGACACTCCTTACTTTTCGTTTCAGTTTCTCCTTCACAAGCCCCCTCTGTAATGCTTCTTCTGTAAACAGTGCTTGGCTACCCTGCTGCATCCTTCTTACTCTCTGGCTATGATTGCCTCTTCACCTCCCTCCTATCTACTCAAAGTGCCATTCTGAGTAGAGACACACCCAGAGGTCATTTCGGGGGGGATCGCGGGGGATCGCAGTTCCCCCGGGTGAGGTACGGGGGGTGGGGCACATGATGAAGCCCCGCCCCCTGCTTCCGGCCGCCCCGCTTCCGGCCCTCATTCAGCCAGGAGGAGGCAGGAGAAGAGGGAGGGTAAGTTGCTTCCTCCCTGCCTCTCCCCACCCCTGCCTGCCTGGGGCCAGGGAGGGCTTTCGCGGGG